CAAATCGCTGTCTATAGATGAATGGGCAAAGAGAAACAGATCACTCACAGAACCAAATGGCCAATTAGCAGTTGAAAATACTTTAAGCTTTGCTGATACTGGGGCAATGCAAATGGAACCCATCAAATTAGCAAAGACTACTCTGACCCTGTGGGGTCCTACCCACCAAGTCACCAGGAAGGGGACTTGGGGCTTCTCTAGGATGACTGCAGTTACCTATAAGCACTAATCTGGGGACAGAAGAGGCATTGTAGTCCACACTACACTTAGGTGTTTGTACTAAAGTTTTTTATAGCTATGCTTGCTTTATGAGGAAATGAAAACCCCTGGAACTGGGCCAAAGATTCCTGGGAATTACTAGTCAAGGGCTTGGGGGTTATCTAGACCAATATAAAAGCATAACTGAAATGGTTATGATAACAGTATGCTGAGGTCTTTTACCAGCTTTTTTCTAAGCTAAGCTGTATACACATAAACACATATGTACAGATGGTCCAAGAAAAATGTTAAGGAAAAAAACTGAAAAATAGGGGCTGGGGATTTAGCTCAGCGGCACAGCGCCTGCCTGGCAAGCGCAAGGTCGTGAGTTCAATTCCTGGTACTGGAAAAATACCAAAAAAAAAAGAAAAAAAGTTGAAAAATATATACTCATGACTGTATTCTCCCTATCACCATTCTCTACTAGTTATACATTTTATCTATGGCTTATGCATTTGTGTTCCCCCTCTGTGATACTGGGGACGGAACCCGGGGATTCATGCATGCTAAGCAAAAGTTCTACCACAAGCCACACGCCCAGTCTCTGACCTCACTATAGCATTTTAATATTGTTTGTGTAACTGACAAAAGAACTCATCTATACCTACACACTCTAAATCTCACTGCAAGGTATTAGATACAAAACAGAAACAAGGGCCAGTTACCACCCCAAGTAAGTGCTAAGTACTCATATCTACTTGTGAAACAGGAGGGTCTCTCTTGATATTTTTAAACAGGGTTTTAGTACGTAGTTCACGCTGGCCTTGAACTCATAGTGGTGGTTTAATAAAAATTTTATTACCTGCCTTTGTGTCCTTCACATAATTATATTTGCCAACTTTTCTTCTCCTAAGTTGCTGAGTAACTGGAATGTGGAAAAATGACAATTTCCTAGTGATAATGGATTATATGTTTAATAATTTTTCACCTATGGCAACTGTATTTATTATGTGTTTTAGACGTACCTTGGGATGAGACAATATGCACAAACTAACAAGACATTAAGGTAACTGGCAAACTAGACATAAACCTTGTGTCCACACAGACACAGTGTTCGGTGAACTACACAGTGAACTATAGGATATCGCTCAACAACAAAAGTGACCTGAGTTATCTTACTGGCAAACAAGTAAAAGAAAACTTGTTAAAGCAGCAAATGTATTAAATCTCATTCATCTCTGACATGGTTGGACCATTAATAGTTCTGGGGGCTTTTATTTTTTATGGTGGTAGGGATTAAACTCAGCACCTTGCACATCCTGGGCAGGTGCTATAGCACTAAGCTACATCCCCAGCCCTAGTTTTGTTACTATTACTAATGTGTTTTATATATCATTATTACTTTGGTCTTTTTGAGACAGGGTCTTACTATGCAATTCAGGCTGGCCTTGGACTCATTTGTAGCCCAGGTTAGACTTAACTCATGGTGATCCTCTTGCCTCAGCTTCCCGAGTGCTGGGATTACAGGCCTGTACCACCAGACCTGTCAATGTGTTTTTTATATATGTTAGAAATGCAAGTCAAGACTTCCAGCAAAATGGCAGAGTGGTCAGTAGCAGAGAAACAGCATCTCCAAGATTTGGCATACAGACGTCAGGATATAAGAATGCAAGGAAGAGGAGGGAAGTGGATCCTCAGGACCCAGGCAAGGATCTGAAGCAAAAATTGAAGCCCATGGGTAGAGAGAAGAGACTTCAACAAATAAGGTGGCAGGTGGTGCTTTTTCCCTGGGCCCTCACTTACTGCATGGGAAGGGCAGCTCGAACCTACACAGTGACTACTGGGGACCTCAGAGACCTCCATGGAGACACACTAGTGGAATGGAGGGGAGAATGCAGCAAACTGCAGTGGCTGGTGAGTCATTCAGGTTCAGATGTTCCCCAGGAGAGGGCAATTGGCCAGCAGCCATCTTGGAGAAGGACAACGGGGCTCAAAACACAGAACAGCTATGGGCTGATGCCATCTAGCCAGGGTGAGGCAGAACTGAATTCAAGTTGGCAGGAGGTCAAGGAGCTGAGTTCAAGCCAGCAGGAAGGACATGGATTGTTACAAGCTAAACAAATCGGGTTCCAGCCTCACAGCCAGAAACCAATTGAACTTCAGTGAAGCTAAATGTACATTGCTGAGATTATCCACTTTTAATTAATCAACATGGATATGGACTCTCTGCCCACTTTGTCTACTAGTGACAGCAGAGGCATACCTTGAAGTGGACATTTTTAAAAATTGTTTTTCCTTGTTTTTTTTTTTTTTATTGTTCTTGCTTTTATGAGTGTGAATTGTTTCTAGTCTTGTTCTCTTTTTATTTCTTGCTTCTTTCTTTCCCTGTTTTCTTTACCAGTTTCCCAAAGTTTGTATCATCTTCCTTTGTCCTTCAGCCTTGCTACTAATTTCTTCCTCCTCTTCTTTTTCTTTTGGCCTTTTTGAGGCAGGGTTTCACCATGCAGTTCAGACCAGCCTTGAGCTCACTTTGTAGCCCAGGTTGGCCTTGAACTCATGGTGATCCTCCTGCCTCAACCTCTGGAGTGCTGGGATTACAGAAGTGCACCATCACACCCAGCTCTGATTTGTTTTCAACTGTTATATAACCACAAATCTAGTTCACACAGTTAAAGGTGGCAAATTAGTATGTACCACAGTTTATCATTTTCTAGGCTGTGTTTGATGCTATTGTTACTGCTGAGTTTACTACTTTAGACATAATTGTTCTAATCAATTGTTCTTCCTGATATGCCAAGACTGAGATTGCCTAAGGATCACAAACAAAACTACAGGCCAATGCCAAAGAACCAGGGGCTAGGCCAAATGGGCATCAATTTTTCATCCCCAATAAACTGAAGAGGTGGGATTTTGCAAGACTCAAAATAACATCTTAACCAACCCAAAACTTATGTATAGTAACTGGGCATGGTACTGCATACCTGTAATCCTAACAATCTAGGAAGCTGAGATAGAAGGATTGCCAATTTGAGCACAGCCTGGGGAATTCAGCAATCCCTGCCTCAAAAATAAGAAAGAGTGGGCGTGTTGGCACACATTTGTAATCCCAGCACTTGGGAGGCTGAGGCAGGAGGATTGTTGTGAGTTCAACACCAGCTTGGGCTACAAAGTGAGCTCATGGCCAGCCTGAACTGCATAGCAAGACCCTGTCTCAAAAAAAAAAAAAAAAAAAAGAAAGGGCTGGGGATGTAGGTTAGTGTTAAGGCCCTGGGTTCAATCCCCAGTACTGCAAAACACAACACAACAAAATGAGATACTGTTCAAAGTCTAAAAACCACAACCACAGTGGAAGAGCTGCCTCCAGTAGCGAGACTAGGGCTTTGGACTAGAGGTGTGGGGTGTGGGGTAACGGGGTATTAGAGGAAGGTGCTGACAAGAGAGAGAGTAATGAGTTTATGAGATACATGATTGTAAAGGTCAAAAAAGTAAATTACTGCTGGGCATGGTGGTACACAGATGTAACTCCAGCACTCTGGAGGCGGAAGCAGGAGGATCACCATGATTTAGTGGCCAGCCTGGGGTACATAATGAGTTCAAAGCCAGCCTGAACTACGCAGTGAGACTCTGTCTCAAAAAAAAAAAAAAAAAAAAAGCAAGTTATTGATTCAAAACACTAATTTACTAACTAACTAAACATTCTCCTTTCCCAGATCACCAAAAATAGCCCAAACCTCTGGGCTCAGCATCCACCTCCCTTCCCACGTCTGGCTCTCTTTGCTGTACAGTACAGGCTGGCCTCGAACTCATGGTGTTCCTCCTTCCTAAACTGAACACTCCATACTCATCTAAGTAGGGCCTAAGATCCAACACACCTCCTGCACCAGTCTCACTGTGGAAGCCAAAGGAGTCACTCAACTGTTGGTGAATGGAGAGACCATTGGTATCTTCCCAGAGCTCAGCTATTTTAGCCTGTTTTCTGAGGCTTAGCACAAACTGAGGCCATGAACAGCTCAATGTGTTAATCTTAAACTTTTTGTTATGGGGAATTTTAAACATGTTGGAGAAGAGATTAGTATAACTTCCACGTACCCACTACCCAGTTTCAGTAATTTTCAACTAATGGCTAATCTCCTAAATTGCCATCACCTGAAAAGACAAGCTGATTAACTACATAGCTCTCTAACCATGGGGCTTGTCAGTAACAACCTATGAAGATCTATGAAAAAGGGGTTATGATGAAACCAAACTGAACCAGGCTATTTACTGGGAGGATGTGGTATCAAAATAGACCTATGCTGGGCTGGACGGTGAAGACAGGGTTCCCAGGACAAGCACCACTGGGGAGTTACAAAAACCAGAACTTACCTGGTTGGAGCCAACAGTCAAAAGTTCCTGATGAAGGAGAGAAATTTAACTCTGAAAAAGGGTCCACCTAAAGGTTTCAAATGTTCAGGTAGAATCACAGTGAAACTTGGGGTCCTTGGTCCTGAATCTTTAGTCTTACCTGTATCAGCCACCTCAGACAGTAACCCTGGTGCTCCAAGATAAACAAAAACTGCTCCCTCAGAAAGGAATAAAAAGCGGGGTGTGGTGGTGCATACGCAGCACTCAAGAGGCTGAGGCAGGAGGATTGCTGTGAGTTTGAGGCCAGCCTGAACTATACAGTGAGACCTTGTCTCCAAACACTAAAAATAAAAACAAAAATAACCACCACAAAAACAAAAGAGAGAGAGAAGAAAGGAATGAAAATTAAAATAGAAACAAAAAAATTAAAATAGAAGCAATGAATAAGCAAATGTAAATCCATAGTACTGAAATATTTATAATTAGTTCTAGTGTCACATGTACAAATCAGTAATGCAATAATTATAATACCATATGTGTCTACTTTTTAAGATATACAAACACTTAAAGTAATTTCTAGCTTTGGGTTGTGACTCAGTGGCAGAGGCTTCGGCATCATCCTGAAGGTGGGATGCTGGGCCTGGGGCTGCTTTAGGCATCATACCACCTAGACAGCGCAGGAGGATGGCTGAGGGGAAAGGACAGAGTTCCTGGGGCTGCTATCTTGCTCTGCAAGAAACCCCTTCTGCTGGGGATCTTAATACTTATAGCTTTATCACCTGCCTTTCTACCTACCCCCACCTTTCATTCCTGGGCTCTAACCTTGGCTGCCCTCTACAATCTCCGACTGATATGTTCTGATCCTACCCCCAGAGATTCGGATTTAACTGATCCTACACGGAGCTGGCGTGAGACTATGGAAAACGCCCCAAGTGACTGTAACGAATAACCAGGACTGAGATACACTGACCTAACTATAAGTCATCTCTACTTTCCCTTTGTAATTTTATGTTCCTGCCTCACACTGTGGTTATGTTTCCTCCCTCTCCTGCAACCCAGATGGCCTTCCAAACAATGCATGCAGCTCTTCACACACTAACTCAAATGGTTGCCGTTGCTGGAATTAGCAGTCACACCTCACCTGGAGTTAGGTTCCACATCAATGCTTATAGCACCACAGGAGTCAAAAGTCACTCTTGACACTTCTACAAGGCTCTGGACCTTGACATACTGTTTCCCCATCACCTATCCGTAGTTTCCTCCTGGACAGGAACAGAAAGCTGCCTTCCCCTCCAGGCACCAAAGGAGGTAGGTGGTTTGTGTTTCAGGGTTACCATGCATAAAGAATACATGTTTAGACATGTGCTTCAGCCCAGCAGGATGCTCACACCATGAACAGCCCAAAGAACTAGAGTGACTGACCCTACAGGAGACACACATCTTTCATCACACCCACTCCTGAGCATATGGTCCTCACAGCCACCAGTGGGGTGGAATCACCTACACCATTTAAGATGTTTCTGTCAAGGCTAGAGAGCTGAACTCAAGTGATGTGCCACACGAACCATGTCCTTCCCCTATACAACTACACTCAGCTGAAGTCAGCCTTCCTCTTCCTCTACCTGCCCTGCAAGTAGCTGGCTAGCCTCCCTCCTTCACTGACTCCCTTCTTGGCTCCCTCAAAGGCTGCTTCTTCCTAAGACTCTACCGTTGTACCTCTCATTAACTCTTCTCCCCATGGCTCTCAGCCCTACCTAGAGCTCCTGACTCATGAGACTTCTGTGCACAGTAAAGGATGGCGTGGGCCTAAGAGCTCTCCCCAGCTGGGATGGTGGTACATGCCTGTAGTCCCAGCCATTAGGAGGCTGAGGCAGGAGCATCACCATGAGTTCGAGGCCAACCTGCACTACATAGGGAGACCTAGCCTCAAAAAAAAAAAAAAAGCTCTCCCCATTTTTACTTTGGGGGCTGGGCTTACAGGGCACAAAACAACATAGTAAGTTCACAATAGGTTTTTTTACAAATGATGAAAATGGGACTTCAACCAGCTTATAAGGGACCCTCCTTATCTCTCAACTCTACTCTGAGGTCTGGATCTCACCTGCTCATCTGAGATCCCAGGCCAGGCCATCTGCCACACCAAGTCAGACCAAGCTCAGCAGTGCTCTCAGGCCTTTAATCTGCAACTTCCTAGCCACACTTCATCACTGCCCCAGCATGGTGGGAAGGGTGAAGACATATGTCCAGACACACCACACCAGTTCTGAGTCAAGAGGGAAGGGCTGGGGTCAGGCTGGGGTCAGGCTGGGGTCAGGCTGGGGCCTGGGCTGGGGGTTCCTGGCCCCAGGCGATGAGGGAGTTGCTGGCCTGGGCAAGCTCGGTGATGGACACTCGGCCCCGCTGTCGGATGAAGTTGGCCACAGCAGCCAGTTCCTCTGGGGTTATGTAGATGAACTTGCCCCGGTCGTCAATCACACCTGTGGGGACATCAGGTTGGAGGGCTGAGCCATTTCGGGCCCTCCCACCTGGCCTGAGAATGCCCACCCATTTCTCCACAAACTTGCCTAGACCCTTCAGGTCTCCTGCCTGTCTGGCCTTTCCTGGCTGCCTCCCATCCAAGCAGACAAGTCAGTCAGGCTTCCTGGCCTGTCCTTATCAACCACCGCCAGTTTGACACTGCTCAGCATGCCCTCCTTCTAACTGTGACCAGCTACTTGGTGTCCCTTGTTGTACACCCTTTCCCCACCCAGAAAGGGCATCCTGGCTCTGCAAGGAAATTCTGGAGCCCCTGTGACTAGATACTCCCCAAGGTCAGGGCCTGTATGATTGATTCTCAACCTCTCACCTGTTAGAGTCCCCTCAGCCAGCAAGTCCTGGATTCGATTTATGGTGTCCTGTGAGGAGAACAATTGGAGAGACAGGTGTTGTTGTCCCCAGAAGAAAACACCTGCCTCCTCCTTCCCACTACAGACAAATCCCTTCTTATTCTCAAGACTGCCCCGCAGCATGACTCTGTTGCTTGTCTGCAGGAGCCTGTTTCTGGGCTCTGCAAGATCCCAACAGAGGCTCTCTTCCAGCGGGCAGGGGGGACAGCAGCGGAGACATGTGGCCACAAAGCAGCCTGTGTACAAGGGAGTTGTCAAGGTAACTGGATTTGGGCTGTTTTGGTCACAAGAGCTGGTGGAGGGATGGGATTTTTTTCTTTTTCTTTCCACTTGTTCTTCAGTCTAGCAGAAATGCAAGATTCTCAAGGTGCCTGGAGACATCTACACTCTATTCACGCTTGATTGCGGGCAGATTAAATGGGCATTAGGAGATTCCATCTTTAGGCCAGGCCAATCCTGCTGGCCACACAGACCCCACTCGTACCTTCCAGGGCTTACCTGAGTCCGCAGGCCCACCTGGGAAGCCAAATCTTCCAAAAGCACAACCTTGGACTGCTACAAAGGAAGGGGAGGAAAAGGGAGAAGCTGACCTTGGGCAAATCCCTCCCACATGGGTGCCCTCTGAGGTCTGCATTCTCATCTGACCTGTTCTGTTTAAAAGTTGTTTTTTTTTTTTTTTTGCTGGGCATGCTGGCCCATACCATTAATCCCAGATACTCTGGAGACTGAGGCAGGAGGATCCCAAGTTAAACGCCAGCTGGGACCCTACTTCAAAATAAAATTTAAGCTTGGGATATAGCTCAGCAGCACAGTGCCTACCTGGCAA